AGATTGAGCAATAAGCTACTCAAACAAACTACTCATGACAAACAAGATCGCAAAAGACCACCCACAAACTTTTGACTATTTTATCAAATAGATCTTCGAGAGCTTAAGAAAGAGTGCCCAATGCAATAGGACTACGCTCACAACCAAAAAAATCTGTCTGAGATAAGTAATACTAGAACATTGCATAAAAATGAAATGGCACATTACTAAAGTGAAGCTAGGACTTTTATCAAAAAATCTCCTATCATTTTTTCTTCATTTTAATCCCTCTTTGTTAATAACTTTGATAATTCTATGATTTTCCATAGAAGGATAAGCAATGATTTGAGCACATGTAGCTCTATAAATGAACCAATGCACTAGATGAATAATTCAAACTCGACTTGATTAAGACTTGAATATGTTCGTTTAAATTTATAAAAAGATAAGCTTGAATAATTTAATAAAACTCGGTTCTTAAATGAACTAAACATGAACATAGTCGAACTTGTTCATTTATGTTCACCAACAAACTCGTTTATTGTACAACAAGTAACTTATTAAATACTCAATATTAAACTTAAATATAGCCAGTATCATATATGATGTATTTTTTAAATAAAATTTGATTAGTTATAAATTATTTAATTATAAATTTAATAGTAATATATTATTATATCAATAATATTTTAAGATTAATTCTTACTTATATATTTATTTTATTATTAATTGTTAACTATTTAAAATTTAACAGGATAGATTTTGAAAATGAGTATCACCTTTGTTCGTTCTTTTCTATTATGTTTGATCTGTTTATCTTTGATTTTTTTTCAATTATTTCTATAACTGATAATTGGTTTCACATTATGAGTTACTTTGTGATACTAGTTCAATTAATTTTTTTTACTCTTGTTTCAATATTTTTTATGTATCTAAGAATTCATTCTTATAAGAATATATCTATTATAAATACTAGATGACAGCATGTGGGTTAATTCTTTTATTTATATGATTTATTCAATTATTTATTTATTTTTATTTGTAAAATTATTTATTATATTTTTTACATGAAAATCTAAATACTTGTTCAAATTTTTAGCTCGTTTATTGGCCCGTTTAACTACTCGTTCACTTATCAAAAACAAATCAAATTCAAACATTGAAAATTTTAAATAAGTCGAGCTTGAACAATATGTGAAAGCTCGACACAAGCTCAAGCCGAAGCTCAAGCCGAACATGAACAAAACTTATAATTGTACAAAGCCAAGTCCAAACTATGATATACTCGGCTCAACTCAATTCGATTATAGCCTTAAGCACATGGAGGAGAATGGATAGGAGTAAAATTTCTTCTCTATTTGTGAAATCCAATAATCAGAGAAAGATAGAACTAGGAGCAGTATAGAATCCTGAAAAACCAATGGCTAGAAGAAGGGTTAAGAACTTGCAACTATAGTCGTAAAGTTCAGTTATATTGACCGGATGGAGAAGATAAAAAAAATAGAGAGAAAGGAAAGTATGAAAAAATTTGGAGGCTTTATATTAAAAAGTTAATTTTATTTAATTAGCTTATAAAATAGATTCCTACGTCCCTATTTATAAATCTAAGTATAAGGGGACCTCAAAATTAAATCTAATATAACAACATAAATATTCTTTGAAATAGCTATATTCTTAAAATAAAGTAACAAACCCTATGTTTTAGAACTTAATCATGAATCTAACTCTCTATAATTAAAAAAAAACAAAATTCTAAAAAAAGAGCAACTAATCTCCCAAAATTTTAGAAATTAACCCTAAATTTAGAAGCTTTTTCCTAAAAAATTAACCACCTCCCTTTTAAAGTTTAGAAACTAATTCTTAAATTTTAGGATTAGATAAATAGCATCTAGATGTAAACAAGTGATTTGAATAACTCCCTTGTCATGCACTAGTCATTAATTCACCCTAACTTCGGGCATTGTTTGGTCTGATCTCCCCCATTTGAAATTCTTCTTAGCAAAATATACAACAAAATCTTAATTTATGTTAAAAAGTATTAATTGACCATAAATTCTTGGACTAATGGTTTCATCATGAAGTGTGGGGGTCTTGGAGATCTTTTAAAATGTGATGGGAATCCTCCCAAATCATTCTAAGAAAATTGTCCTTTTTATCGAAATCATTTTACCCAAGAGGCTCTAATATCAAAATGGGGCATATTCAAACAGCAAACCAAAAGTCCAATGCAAGCTGCTAAAAAGGGTTATAACTTAGTACAGATTGCTAAGGCATGCCACTCACATTAATCACCCACTTCCTGCACACATACAATTGGAGAAAATGTGAGTCTGCCCTAAGGAATTCTTCCATTGGAAGTAGTCCAATGCTCAAATTGGTAAAATGAAGCATAAACATATGAAATAGAAGGTTATGCCTCGTCCTTCCTAAGGGAATTCAGAAAATTGTGATGGCCTTCGTACAAACAAATTATCTGTTGGCTTTTATAGATGTTAGTGTGAAGCATAGTTTGGTATTTTTTTGGAGATGAATTGCAGATAAAGGAAACACTTAGTTTCTAAGATTAGTTTGAACGAAGATGCTCATGACAGAGATAGTTTTTTGTCCAATCAAATCAATCAAAGATTTAAGAAATAAAACACATTGCTTATGAGTTCTATGGTAAACCATTCTATCTTTGAGAATGATGAATAGCCAACTAATGTAGCCAACAATTTGACTAAAGCCACAAGAGGTCTTTAAGGTAGTGTTGGGTTCCAGCTAAGCTAGACCATTAGAGAATAGAAATCATCTTAAGTTATGTAGTTGCTTTTATGATGCTGATTGAAAGCCTTCACATATTATTAAGTGATTTTTGACCAAGAATCAGAAGAGCAATTGGTTCAGCATAACTTTGGTGCATGATAATTGTAAAAGCGCAAATCTTTGTGCCATTGATTGGACAATCCAAAAATATCCTTCCTAGACAAATTATTTTGTAGGTTTTAAATTATTTTAATCTACGGTTTGGACTTGACATTTGCAACCCATAATTACTCCAAGATATCAATTTCAAGATTTAGTTCAATTTGTGAATTAAGATATTAGGAGTTAACACCATGGATGTGAAACTTCTGTAGAAGATTCTTGGAGAGTGTCTTTCAAGTTGATCTTGCTAATGAGAAACTTGCTTTAAGGTTATACTAATAAGATTCTTCAATATTTTACCTAAGTTTTACTGAGTGGATTGGATTTAAGCTTGCTCCATTGTGCCTAGATATCGGTTCATACTTTTTGGGCCATGATTCAAGCAACACAACCGAATATGATATTTTTGGGTGATTATTCATAATTCAAGCCAATTTTTGGCATGTTTGTTATGGATAAAGAGTAGAATTAATAGATGTTGGTGTTAACCCCATGCATACATGAGTGCTTGCAAAAGCATTCACTAAATGAAAAGGGGTGCCAGTAGTCTATGTGTTCATGGTTACTTTCAAAGTTTCATAGTCTACTTTCAAAACCTCCTTAATAAGTAATGGAGGTCTCTTCTTGTATAGTGAAATGTTTATTTGCCTTAATAAGCTTTCAATTTTTTTTTTATTATTTTTATTATTTTAAACCTCACAACCAATGCATCAGAAATACAAACTCTAATACCAATATGATCCAAAATGAGAGATCTCTATTACCATATAACTCTCTTATTTAACCCTAGATTCTAAGGGATTGTATATTTCAAGGACCAAATTTGTATCCAACTTGCTCATTTCGCATGCGAGAGGCATGGGGCGAAAAAAATTTTATCCAACTTAATTGTCTGAAGACTTGAGAAAAATTGGGATAGAATTACTTTTCGTATAGGAACAAGGTGGGCTTCTATAATAAGAATTCCAAATTATCATTTTCTTCATGGAGAGGAATAATTTCTTAGAATCAATAAAGATAAAAAGTAAATAAAACCTAGTACAAGTAATGGTCATGGAGATTCAAATATTAATTCTAAGAAACTAGAAAAGATGGCAATAATATATTCTTTCTTATTTCAATTATTTATCACTTTAGTCAAAAAAAACCCTCACCTGGGATTAAAAATTTCTCATAAAAAATCCTTACTAAACTTCTTTTGGCTGAAGGAGTTAGAATTTATCTTGAATTCCTGCTCACTCCAAGCTTCCACTTCTTTTATACCCATGAACACAAACATTAAATGCATGAAAATTTTCAAGCTTTTGTTGGACTTCAAGCCTCCTAGACTAAACAATCCATGCAACATGTAGATTTATACAACTTTCTAATCATTACATTCAAATATATTAAACTTCAAAATATTAAGAAATCTTAAGAACTACAAAGAAGAGTGCAACCAATGCAAGTTCTCAACAGCGGTTCCTACTCAGAGCCTTACGAATAAGCTTTCAATCACTGAGCTCCGATCATGCCCATTAAACATTTTCTATTTGCAAACAAAAGTAACAAAAAATTAGTCCTATTCAACAGGAACATTGGATGGATTTTATGCAATATAACAAGGAACGTTCATCGTTAATTTACTCATCCACAATCTCAGATTTCAATTGATTAGCAATTTATTTATGAGCACACATAGATATAATTGCTTTTTTAATTCATTTTCCACCATGGAAATAAGTTACCCTAGATATCTAACCTGAAAAAAAAAAAAAGATTTCTTTTTTTTTTCTGAATATCCCAAAATAGGTTCCAACTGCAAAAAGAATATCACCCTCATGTTCCTCAAAGTCATCAACTTAAAATTACAAGCATGTATGCATAAGTTCTAAAATATGTGATATAACTTATGAATTATTCAAACAACAAAACGAGAGATTTATCAAAAATTTACGGCAACAAGCATTCATTATCCTCCACTAATCAGGAAAAAAAAAAACTGCAATTTTCAGATAAAAAAATTACCATTTATATAGCATTAAAAGACAAATCTCCTAAAAAGCTTATCTTCACATGCCAAACTGGGAAAGAGGACCCAAAAACGAAGAGATTCGACTGAATATAGAACTTACACATCAAACAATTTAGTTGGCGTCCACCAATGTCCAGAATTAAAGATCAAAATATCAGAATCAACCCATCTTCGATTTATATTATCCATTTTATCAAGCTTCAGCGTCATTTTAACCCTCTTAGGCGCCAATCTAGGAGGAGGGCCCTGCTGCACAAGAAAAACTGAACGAAAGAACTCCACAGTGAAGTTATAAGATCTGAACCGAACCCCCAGAAACTGAATAGTCTTCGAGATTTCATTCCCATTGATCTCATAAACACTCTGTAAATCCTCTACTCCTGTCATCAGCATACAAATGAGAGATTCCCACTGCGTCCTGCTCATGGAATCTCCCACAAATACTATACGCTTACCACGAAGCCTCTCCAGAATCTCAAACGCATCAAATCTGGGAACTTCGCAGAGCCGAGGCCTCCACCTCCACCGCAGATAGTCTGTATCCTTCCTCCCATTGGCCAAGCAATTGAAGCCTCGTTCTGCAAAAGGGCAGATTGAGCTATTGTACAATGGGTATGAATCGGACGGCACCCAATTCCCCTCGAAGACATCGCAGACGTCGGTCATACCGGTGAACGCTGATACCTCGCCGGCATTCCCGCCGCGAGAGAGGTATCGGAACCAGTACAAGTAAAGAATGCAACACAGCACGAGCGCAAGGGAAATGAGGAAGAAGGAGAGGACGACAGCGTTAAAGAAGTATCCAGGTACGAACCATTTTCGATGGGCGGAAGTGGAGACTCTAGAGCTGCTGATGCTGATGGAGCGATAGCCGGGGCGAGTACAAACGCTCCGACTGAAGGCAGTAGATGCCATTTTGTTGCGGCAGAGATGGATTAGAGATCATGCGACACTCTGAGAGGATCGAGGTCGGTGATTGAAAGTTCATTGCTGTAATTAGTTAGAAAGGGAAGAGGAAGTTCAGGGGATTTCAGTTCCATCAGGGTATGGCTGGAACTGGGTACTCTCGATGAAGGATAAAAATGGAATCTTGCGGCCCTTTTCTAGGAATCTGAAACGATGAAACAAAGAAAATGGAATTTTGCTCGCAGGGAAGCGCCTGATTCGCTCTCCGCCACTCTCTCTCTCTCTCTCTCTCTGTTTTCGGCGGGTCTCGGGAGTTGGTGGAGCGAGATAGCGTAGCGGCTAACCGAGTGAGGCGAATAGGCGATTTTGGTTGGGTAGGACCGAACCTTCTTTTTTTGTACTTATTTAAAACAAACGTGGATGGCACTTCCAAAATCAACATATATATATATATGTGATGAATCGTTTTAGGGCAAGGTAGAGGAAAGGAAGAATTGAAGAAGAGAAGGCAAACAGACGGAAGAGGAAATGAAGAAGCGAGGAAAACGAAGTGAAGAATTGGGGCAGTCGAGCACAACAAGAGGAACCGAGAGGTCAAAAGTTTTTGAGGAGATTTTGCTTTTATAAATCGACTTGCCCGTGGATTCGGCGACGAGCAAAGGAGAGGAAGACGATTCGAGGGCAAGAAAGAAGTGACGTCAGTATCATATAGAGGTCGCGAGTGCGGGAGTTCCTGCACACTCGATCCTGACGAACGAACTGACAAAGAAGTAGAAGAGAGGCGGGGTTGATTTCTAGCAATGACGACTCTATCAAGCTTGAAGGAGGAATCGACATGGTTGTTGTGTAGAGGAAGAGGAAGACGAGAAGGGTTGAGTTCGTGCGGGAGACCAAGCTCTCAATCTAAGTCATTTGTGAGCAGGAAGGATGGAGAGGAGGGCTCTCGCGACTGTAGATGTTTGGAATCAGCTTTGGTGTGTGATATAAAAGCTCGACCGAGCCTTGCTGCTCAGTTCGGGTGATCTAGGGCACGAGATGGGATTAAGATAACTTACTTAATAATTTGAGTTATTATAACATATTCCTCAAACTTTATACCTAATTAAATTCAATATTATTGTTTAAAGGTAACTAGTACTAGTAGTAATAATAATAATAATAATATTATTATTATTATTATTA